CATGGCACTGTTAATGTACTAAATGTCACTAATGGTAAATCTTATGCCTATTTTACCAAAATAAAAAAATATATATATATACAGAGAGAGAGAGATAGATAAATTCTGCCACACCAATTCTACCAGGATATTTTTCTTAAAAAAAAAATCATGAATGTGTCAAGGACTTTACAAAATGGGATTCACTGTGTAAGTATCATTGCTGTTATAAACAATGGCAAAAATTTTGAAATTACCTAAATGCCCAACCAAAGGGACTCAGTTAAATGAATGAGGGTATGCATTAGAATGCTATGTAGTTACTAAAACTTATGCTATAGAAGAGTTTAATGACAGGATGCTAATGCAATTCAAAGTGAAAAAAATCAATTTACTTCCTCTTTCCAAAGTGTGTGTACATAGATGTATATTCTGTGAATATACACAGAAAAAGAAATGAAACGGATCTATATCAAAGGGTTAACAGAGGCTCACACTGGGTGGAATTAATTATGATTTTAATTTTCTCCAAAATAAAAAAAGTACTAATAATTATTTGCCAAGTATCTTGCACTGTTCTAAATTCTATCATCAAATTGTTTAATTCTTACAAAGAACCTTTTAGGGCAAAGAAGTAACTTCTTCAAGGTCACATAGCTGGTAAGTGGTAGAGCTGGGATTCAAACCCAAGGACCATGGCTCCAGAGAATGAGATGGTATCCACTATGCTCTTAATATAAATCTTTTTGTTTGACCTATAGATTCTAAATTTTCCATGATGATCACATTTGGTGATATAAGAGTAAAGAAAGTTATTTTTTAAAACAATCAATTGCTTTAAAAACAATCAATTGTAAGAGCTGTCGTCATTGTGGGGATAGAATATGGATATTTTTTAATTCTCCTATTTGTCTAGGTTTTCCGAGTTTCCTTTAATGAACAGGCAATGCTTTTAAAGTGGAAAGAAGAAAACCTCTCAAATAAGGAAAATCTAAGCATGGTGCCAGACTTTAAAAGCTATGGCTCAAAGGAAAATTTCATCACCCCTCTAAGGCCAAGGACCCCGTAGACTCACTGCATACGGACCAGAGGGAGGAGGGAGGGGCTGGGGGGAGTCCCCAAGTGAACTCAGCAGGTGGGGCCAGAAGCAGGCACCTCCAACACCCTCGCCAGTGGAGCGTCTCCATCCTTACCTTGCAGGGCCTCCTCGTGTTTTCCTTCCAGAACCCTTCGTTGCTCTTCCAGTCTCTCTTGAAGCTCTAGCTCCCTCTCCTTCTCCACCTGTGGGGAAAGGGGCCCGGGCAGGACTGAGATGGAGTAGGTTCAGACAGCTTCTCTTATCCACTCCCTGCATGCTGGGGCTACGAGGAACTTGGTGATCAGAGTCCCCTCCTCTCCTCTGAGGGATGGGAATGACACCCCAGAGAGGGCACAAGCCTTCCAAGACACAGCAGGCATGGCAGACTGTGTCCTCTTTAGGGCTTAGCAGGGGTTTCCCAGAGAACTCTCTGCGTGGAAAGGGACTTAGGAGTCTTCTAATCCTGATGTTCACTCAAGGCAGGAAGCCCTTGGATGGTTTCCTCTGCTTGCATATACCGAGTGACAGCCACGTGTTCTAACCATGGGTAGGGTCTACTGTTACAAGTGACCTCTAACTTCTACCATCAGGTCCCAGATCTGTTCTCGAGGGTCACACAGAGCCAGGCTGCTCCCTCAGCCCAGGTAGCCCCTCAGAGACCAGAGCACAGCAGCCGTGTTGACAACGTTTCTCTTTTCCAGGCCGAACGCTCCCAGCCATTCTCACTGTGCTGCACCTGAGATGTTTTCTAGGCCCTTCACCACCTACACGGGTACAGCTGGTGGGCACACCCAGAGGCAAGGCACAACTTAAAGAGGTCTAGCCTCAGCCCACCACTGAGTTCCTACGTGCCCTGGGACCAGCTCCCTCCCCTGTATAATGAAGGGTTTCAACTTGATGGCCCCTACGGACCCTCTCCAGTCTCACGGTTAAGGATTCCATGGGTAAAGGTCAGGGCCAAATGACGTTGGGATGGCTACTCTACCAAAACAACTTAAAGACCTGCAACACACAGAGTGAACCCACCTTTCATAAAAGGTGTTTGTGAAAAATGTATCTAGGCAAAGCATGTTTTAATGTATTTGGGGTGCTCACTGCAGCCTACCACCTCGAGGGCAGCATCTGGGCTGTATTCCTCCCTGTACACCTTGTAGTGCCCAAGGCAGCACCCTCCCTGCACACAGGAAGTCCTCAGTGAGTCTGCTGAGTGAATGGAAACCAGAGGAGAGTCTTTAGTACAAGTAACCACACAATTTAGGCCGGGCATGGTGGCTCACGCCTGTAATCCCAGCACTTTGGGAGGACAGGATCACTTGAGGCCAGGAGTTCATGACCAGCCTGGATAACATAGCAAGACCCCGTTTCTACAAAAAATATAAAAATTAGCTGGGCATGGTGGTATGTGTCTGTAGTCCCAGCAACTTAGGAGGTTGAGGTGGGCGAGTCGCTTGAGCCCAGGAGTTTGAGGCTATAGTGAGATATGATGATGTCACTGTACTCTAGCCTGGGCTTGTAAGACCCTGTTTCAAAAAAAAAAAAAAAGAAAAGAAAAGAAAAAGAGACTCATACAATTTAATAGAGCAATTAGTTTATAACTAGAGACATTTTTTAAAAGAGACTTTAAACTTCAGAATTTTGAATATTTATACTGAACATGTTTCATATTTATGATTTAAAATAACCAATTAAGAAGATTTAGAGAAAACTCTGTACACTATCCTAAGATCATTCCTATTGCTCTACCATCTCCCTCTGGTTAGGGAGGAGCGTGAGGAGGGGTTAGTGACCAAGCTCGAATGAGGACAAGGAAATCCCGGGCTGAGTTGCCTTCAGTTGTCACATCTCTTCAGTGTCCTTTAGTCTGGAATTGTTCCTCAGTCTTTCCTCTCGCGCCACGACCTTGACATTTGACTAATATAGGCTGGAAATTGGGCACAATGTTCCTCAATTTTCATTTCCAAATAATTTTAAAAATCTCACTGTTACCTCCCCAAAGAGGCCTTGTCCAATCCCACAGACTTGGCTAAGGCCTTCTAGTATGTCCTTCCACGGCAATCTAAACTTTTCGTAGCGCTGATAGTTGTCGTACATCATTGTGTAAATTGTGTTTAGCATTTGACTTCCTGTCTCAGCCAGGATAGGCTAAATTATGCTGCCATAACAAACAGCGATAAAGTCTTGGGGGCTTAAACAAAAGGCTTATTTCGCACTCACTACATGTCCCTTTTGGGTGGGCAGGGAGATCTGCTGCCCAGGGATTACCCAGGACACAGGGATACAGGCTGACGGAGCAGCCATTAGGACAATGCTGTCAGTTAGCTAGACAGAAAGACCTAGAGGGTCTCAAACCAGCGATCCAATGCTTGGCCTGGAAGGAAGTGATGCTGGTTCTCCTTTTCACAACTCATCTGTGCCCACCCCCCACCCCAAACCATGAGGGGGCCTGGGAGGGTAATTAATCCGGCAGCACCAGTGGCTTTTACTCTTCCCGAATAGACTGTTAGTTCTGTGAGAGCAGTGGCCAGCCCTGCTTGCGTTAACCAATGTGCTGGCACTAGCAGCCTGATATAAATGTGTGAAAGGACTCCTTTCTTGGCAGAAAGAGTAAAAGACTCTTACAACAACAATAAAAGCCAAAACTAGGTCCTCACTCTGGGCTATATCAAGGGTAGCTGAGCAGGAGGGAAAGAGAGGGGTTGGGGTTACCTGGGCTTACCTGTTGCGACCATTTCTTCTTCTCCTCTTCATGTTGCTGGAGAATGCTGGCTATGTTCTTCTGGTGCTGCTCGGCCTCCTCAGACACACAGAGCTGGACAGTTACGGCTGTAGGTGAAAAAGCAAAACATTTGCACAGAGCGGAGGTGGGGTCGGGCCGGCAGAGAGGGTGTGGGAGGCTGGATCTAAGCGATGGGAACCCTGGTAAATGGCTTCTGTCGGGGACCAACCTCCAGAGACAGCCCCTCAAATCTCTCGGGCTTTGGAGACCTTTCCTCAAGGCAGAGCCAGAGGTCTCCTTCTGTCTCTTGGTATCCACAGCAGAGCCAGTAGCTCGCAGGACAGATTCAGCAAATAGATGTGTTCTATTTGCTCCACTCAAACTTCAGAAAAAGATAGTTTCTTATACTTAATAGTTGGGAAGCTTTTGCTTAATAATACAGATTTCCAACTTTTCTTGAAGAATCCAAAGAACTGGCAATGCAGATCTTCACGTCCACCGGGGGCTGGAGCTGAGGAAGAGCTGGCTCTGCGGTTGGCCACAGTCTTTGCCTCCCCCTGCCAAGCATGTGTATACGGGGCCAGCCTGGCATTGCTTTACCTGCTGGGCCTGTGAGCACCTGAGTGTGTGGCCCCTCACCTTTAGCATCTCCTCGGCTGGAGGCAGAGGGGCTGCCTATGTGCAGGAAGGAGACACAAACAGGAAGTCTAGCCCTGGCTTAGGGAAACTCCAGCGCAGGCCTTGCCAATGACCTAGGGCAGTGACCATCCTCTCTGTGCCTCAGTTACCCAATACGGGAGGTCAAGATAATTATGGGACCTACATCACGAGGCTACTGAGATGACTAAATCAGAAAAGAACGGCAATAAAAATAACGAAGCACGTGAGCAGTACTGAGAGCTTCCCATGCCCACGGCACGCCCAGCACCGCTCTAAGTGCCTTACGGGGATCACTCACCTAATCCTCACAGCAACCCAGTGTCGTGGGTACTGTTATTATCCCCATTTACAGATGCGGAAACTGAGGTGCAGAGAGGTTAGACAACTTGCCCAAGATCACCCAGGTCACAGCTGGGGGAGCAGGGATGTGAACCTACGCAGTCTGGTTCCACGGCAAACACTCCCAGCTACCACCTTATCCTGCCTGCTCGTGCACAAAAAGACATGTAGTGCCGGGCACTTTGGGGGTGCCCCATAGATGCTCTTCATTGTCCATTAAATGTCCTCTAAATTTTTAACAGTGCTCATGACAAGCATTGGAGGTCAATACTGGTGCTGTTGGCATTATGATTAGAGAACTTCCTAGCAGGGTCTGGCAGAGGGTATGGTAGAAAGGTGAGGATGAGGGAGAAGCCAACACGGTGGTCAGTGCCGTCAGGACAGGAGGAGGACTGAGTTGGTGTCCTTGAGTCCTGAGCTCCCAGAGGCCGTGAGCAGACAGGGGTTAGCTGATAGCAATGGTCAGGACTGGAGAGACACGGACTGTCACAAACCATCTGGCTCGAATGTTGTCCATGAGATCAGTACCCGACTGGCCTCAGCTGGAGAGAAGTTTATTAAAAAGACACATCCTTACTAAAAATCCAGATGCCTCCGCCCGGCTCCCAGAGATTCTTATTTAGTTGGTCTGTGCTAGGGCCCCAGAATCTGTATCTTTGAAGTTCCCCAGGTAATTCTTATACACAGTCAGAGTGGGGGACCCTGAATTCTGCTCCAATTGCTTACCTGGTACTTAGATCTCACCTACAGGAACCCCAACAGCCTCCAGGCCGTAATGAAACACCTTCAGAGATAGGGAGCTCATTCTATTACCAGGGAGCTCTGATGGTTTTAAACCAACAACCGCACAAAAAACTCTTTGGGACTGAGCTGGATTCTGTCTGCTGTTGTTGCTACCTTGAGGCCCTAGTACTGACCTCTGAGTCGCACTAAATCAGGCTCATTTTTCTTCTCTGTTAGGGTACTTCAGATGCCTGGAGGGGACTGTTGTTTTATGGCAACATCTTTCCAGAGGGAACATTCTCTGCTTCTTCAACTGTTGCTTACAGGACATGTTTTCTAGATTCTTCACCAACCTCATCTTCCTCCAGCATATTCTCTCAAAATTTTCTGGATCCCTCTGAAAATGTACTTTCCAGAACTATATCCAGCACTCTAGGAGTGATATCAACAGCCCAAAACAGGGAAGCACAGGTCAGGACTATCACCTCCGTGATTATAGACATGATACCCCTATTAATGTAACCTATGTACAATCTCATGAGCTATTTAAGTAGCTATGTCGCTATATGGTAGGAAACCACATGGATGTCAGTGGGGACACATGGAGCTGGCTACTTACCTGTGTCCCCATTGAGGGGACCTAGTTCCTGGGGCTCTGGTCTGGGCGGCTGATCTGGTTCTTGGCGCCTCTGGAAGTAATGAGACAACAACAGATGAGGGGAGAGGGTGGGAGGTCAATGTGAGGATGGGATTCTTCCAAAGCAAAGCAGGACTGTCAGTTACACCAGACACCAGGCTGCCCATGCCTGGTCCCTTTAGACTGCCTCCCTCCCCCCGACCCCTTCCCCCACAGAGCACCCCCTCTACAAGGGGATGTTCCCAGAGCAGGATTTCTTATCCTTGCCTCACCCTCAGTGGAGAGTTTGATGTGTCTTGACCTTTCCTTAGATCTTCATGGTCTGGCACCAGCTGCCACCTATGGGGGCCTCCCTGCCCACCCCTTCTTTCTCTCAGGATTTGGCCAGACCTTCTGCTGTTACCTTCACCCAGCTCTGGTCTTGAAGTGCCCTAAAACCTCCCAATTCCCAATTCAGAGATGGTTCCCCTTTCCTTTCAGGTCTATGGCTACCCCAGCTTCCAGCTGGGTTCGCCTGAAAGTTAAGTGCTGTCAGGGCCGGAACATCAGAATGTCAAGCCCTGATTTTACCATACTGGTTCTCTGGTAAAGGAGCTGTTTCTGCAACTGTAAAATAGAGGCAGTGGCACTTATCTTGCCGGACGGGAGTGAGGTATGACATTCAGGGTGTACCAGATGCTATGCTGTCTTGCCTACACTATCTTAGTTAATTTTCAGAGCCACTTTAAGAAATACGAATATCCCAAATTTAAAGATGAGAGGGTGAGGCTGAGTGAGATTAGGATTCAATCGAGGTAGCTCAGGGGATAATTGGCAGAGTCAAGTATTCGAGCCATACCTGGTGGACACTTTAACCAATCGTGGCCAGGGTTGGTTGAATCTGACCAAAGGAATAAAAGATGGAACAGGGCTTTCAACATCGCCAAGCAGTGCCGGTGGCTCCCAGATCTCATAAATGACTAATATGTTTTAATGAGAGAGTGGATATGGACTGATAAGGATGCTAAAAAAAATTATTTGTAGATCACCGCCCTTTTTATAAAATTTTTAAATTTTTTATAAAATTTTTTATTTCATAAAAAATAAAATAAAAAACATTTTAACCTTCCAGAACATGGTAAGGAAAGGCTCAAGGGCAGACTTCCAGGAAAGGGGAGCTGACATGCTTAACCGACATCACACCCACTCATACCTTTAATTTTCTTCTTTCACCCCAGGGAGGTGAAAAGTTGATTGAACCGGACCAGGATTTTGGGTGGAAAAAACATTTAAGCCCTTTTACACACTTTTCAAGATGCTGGAAGGAAAGCAGGAAGGGGAGAGAAGGAGGGAGAGAGGGGGAAGGAAGGAAGGAAAAGAAGACGTTCTAGATCCCATTTTAAGAAATACTTTTTTTCAAATGTTTGTAAGTTTTACAAGAATGAGAAGGCTATGAGAATGTTCAGTTGCGAATTATCACTATAAAAGAAAACCTTTGCTTTTTACTATGGTAACAGATTTTTAAAGGCAGTTATTAGAATAGAAATTATTAAAAATTTCCTGAACTGAAGAACTACTGAAATACTGCTAAAAAGCAAACTGTGGGACTGAGGAGGGAAGATACATCAAGGGAAGGCTTCTGGAACAGTCTGCCCCTCCCCCACAGGGCCTGGCACGTGCAAGCTCCCGGCAAACTGAGTGGGGCACGAGCGAGCACGGTGCCTCCCCCGGGTCCTGTGCCTGCATCTGCTCATGGCTGGGTGGGCCTGACAACTTAGCTCCCCACCCACCCTTGTGAGGACTCAGCCTGCCCTTTCCAGGGGAGAGGAGGAAGCCCCGTCCAGGAACCAGCCAGAGAAGCCGTCAACACAGGAATCTGCGGAAGTGACAGGAGCCAGCCTCCCCGCCCCGGGCTGGAGGAAGGAGGGAGATGAAGGCAAATGGTTGTCTTTTTCCTGTTGCCACCACGGGTTACGCTGAATCTGGCAATGTTTTCATGAGAGCCAGAGGCCTGGACTCTAGTTCCAGCTCTGCTACCAGCTGGGCCAAGTCCTTTCCCCCTCTGGGCTTCTGCTTCCTCCTTTGGGACGTGCAGGTGAGGAGGTCTGGTCTTATAGTTGAACCTGATGATCCCATGGTGTTTGAGCTCTGAGCGTCTAAGCTCGGCTCCTCGCAACAGCACCAGGAGGCAAAGGTTCTTACAGATGAGGAAACTGAGGCACAGGAGGTTGAAACTGTGTCTTCATGTTCAAGTCAGCATTAGAACCTGGTGTCAGAATTCATTAGAGACTGCAGAGCAGAGAGGTTAAGAACTCTGGAATTCTAGAATCACACAGATCTGGGCTGAAATCCTAAATCCAACACTGTGTGGCTTCTCCAGGCCTTGGTTTCCTCATGAGGTTTTTTTCAGGATTAGATGAAATGATGCACCCGCAGCACCTGCACATACTAAGAGCTCAAATGCTGCAGGAGATTATCGCTTTATGTTTGAGAAACACGGCAAGAACAAAGACCCCACAGTGCTTTGGCAGATCCCTTAGGCTGCCATGGGTCTCAGGTTTTGTCATCTGAAATAAGAGCAGAAGCTCATGAAACACTGCCCTTTTGCAAATACTCACCACCACAGAGCGGTGGAGAACTCCTCTCCATAAACAGCTTGAAGACCACAGGCAGGATGGCACCTGCCAAAATCATCCCCAGGCTAACTCCTTCAGAATGACAGTCAAGGCTCATCAATGTCCCCAGCCCGCTCCCCCTCTACTTTCTTAATATTTAAATATCTGTAAACAACTTTTTCCAGTTGCAGCAGTAGTAAGCATTAATTGTAGAAAGTATGGAAAATACAGAAAAATACAAAAAGAGAATCCCACTACCTAGATAACCCCAGAACA